TAACTAAAACAACTAGTCATTAAGTATATTCAAGACTGAGATAGATTTTGAACCAGTAAGGCCTATCAAAGGTTGTGGGTAAAAGACAGGAAAGTGGATTTGAGGGTTATGATTTCATTGAATGGCACAGCAGTCTCATGGGCCGAATGGCCGACTTCTGCTCCTTTGCCTTCCCATCATCTTACATTGTGAAGAGGCCCAGCTGTAAATCCTGGTAAATCAAATCAGAAAATGGGTGGATTGTAGAGCTGGCCCATTAGCAGGTGTACTATAGTGGGATGTGAGTATTACTTTGATAATAATATCATGAAGGAGCTTATCTGACATCAGCAGAACTGAGAGACAGAGAAAAACATATGGACAAGACTGGAAGAGGAGCTGAAGAGAAACACAGTATTTAGCATGGGGTACTTAAGTGTAGGTAAAGTGCTCATGCTAACGAGGAGCCTGGAAGAGCCTTAGGGTCATAGAATCTGTATAGCATGGAAGCAGGCCCTTCAACCCATTGAGTCCACACCAACCCTCTGAAGAGCATCCCACCCAGACCCTCTCCTATCCCTGTTACCCTGCATTTCCCATGGCTAATCCATCTAGGCTATGCATCCCTGGAACACTATAGGGCAATTTAGCATGGCTAAACCATCCACCCTGCACATCTTTGGATTGTGGGCAGAAACAGACCATCCAGAGGGAGCCCATGTAGACACAGGGAGAATGTGCAGACTCCACGCAGAGGGCATCCAAGGTTGGAATTGAACTCCGGTCTCTGGCGCTATGAGGCAGCAGTGCTAACCGCTGAGCCACCATGCTGCCTCTTGGTCTGGGTTAAGAACAAACTAGGAATGAAAGACATTAAGAACTGTAGCAGCGTAGTGAGGCAGTGCAGCCTGCTGAGGTGCAAACAGAGACACACAGCATTGTAGAGAATCCAGATGGTGTAGAATCCATGAAGGGACAACTAAGTGGCAGGAGCCAATGGGAGAAGCTCAATCCAGAGAGAGAGGTGCAGCAGCTTAAGGCCTGGTTACCTCTCTCAAAATGAAATTGTCAGGTGAGATTTTTACTTTAATTTAGACACTAAATGATCCATTGTTCTCAGGTTTTTATGCTTTGTGTGCAGCACAAAAGCAAGTTATTTGGTCCAATATGGCTGTCATCACATTCAAAAAGTAATCTATTTAGTCCCACTCCCCAGATAAACTACAACGACAAACCAGGTTAAGTGGCAGACAAGTTCCTGAATTCAGAAAGTTGAAGGCTAAGATTCACTGTGAGGTATTTGTTCACATAGTCCAGAATAGAAGTAAATCACAGAGTTTTCATAGAATCAAAGAGCAATACAGCCTATAATGCAGGCTGGAGGCCATTTGGCCCTCTGTGCTTGGGCTGGCTCTTTGATAGAGCTGACCGACCCAGCCATACTCCCTCTCCTTTAGTCCAATTTATATCCAATTCTTTTTCAGAGGTTGGTATCAAATCTGCTTCCTGCACCCTTTTCAGGCAGTGTTTTCAGGATCACAACAGCGCACTTGTGTTGGGGAAGAGGTTTTTGTGCTGTCTTTGGTTCTTTTACCAAACCTATTAGTTTTTTTCTTCTGAGGAGAAGATTTCTGAGAAATTCTGTTCTGTTTAATTGAGAGCAAGGTTCGGCTGACTCGGCGTTCATACACTGAAACCAGTGCTTGGGTCAGATTTCAACGTCACCCAGGAGTTTACAGTGACACAGTGGGGCCATGATATACTGGTTACAAGCTGCTGTTTGTTCGATTCCTCAGACAGTCTTTTTAACTCCAGCCTGAAGTTGGAGCAGGGCCACAATGTACCTATCACTAGTCACATAAGTTTGTGATCATCTGAGTTGACAAAGTCTGAAAGCAACATCAACTTTCACAATCTAAGAAATAAGGAAGACTTGTGTTATATAGCACCAGACTGGTTCCAAACATGTTCATGGCCAATTAAGCGCTTTTAAAATGTCATTGTTGTCGTTATGTTGGAAACTGCTGCATAATCCGTAGAAAAAATGTGGACATAACACTTTTTAGCAATGTAATGAGCCTTTTCCTCAATGAATTATTACGCTACAAATTAAGTTAATTTAACAAAAAAACTGTGTGCTCATTAGTAACTGTTATATGTGGTTTTTACTCACTAAATATCCATCTGGGAGACTACCATTAAAAGCAACAGGAAATCAATATGTTAAATACTGATGTAGCCTAATGGTTTAAAGTTAAGGAGGTGTATATCTTACTGACAGTGAAATGTTATTGCTGTCCAGTATTTTTGAATTATGCTTGAGCCCCTGCCAATTTTTCTTCTTGAACTTGCTTAATGAGCAGCAAAAAACTAAACACATTATACAGACAGACGGCAAGGAAATACACAGTCGTATCTCCCTTTTGATGTTCCACACTGCGATAGAAAATTGTGAAATTATTCTGAAAAGGTAATCTTGCTTCCTCTTTTGCATTGTACTGTTTGGGGTGCCCTCATTTTATCTCTGTGTCAGTCCTCCTTGCTGTTTCCCTTCTGTCAAGAAGTGTGAATGCCTACAGTGCAGAAAGAGGCCATTCAGCCCATTGAGTCTGCATTGACCCTCCAAAGAGCATCCCATCCAGACCCACCTCAACCCTGTAACCCCACATGGGGTTTTCAAACCATGGTTAACCCACCTAACCTGCACATCCCTGGACTGTGGGAGGAAACTGGAGCACCTGGAGGAAACCCACGCAGACACAGGGAGAATGTGTAAACTCCACACAGTCGCCCGAGAGTGGAATTGAACCCACATCCCTGGCACCGTGAGGCTGCAGTGCTAACCACTGAGCCACATTGTTGAAAGCTTGCAACCTAGATATTCAGAGTTAGCCCTTTAAACTTCCAAAAGTGGCAGCAATGGGTGGGGTTTCCTCTGAAGTAGCAGTCTCCTGCAGATTGCCACTCTGCCCCTCCTTTTCTCAAAAGGATTGAGCCCTGCGTTTCTAATCCCTCAGAAATGCAGAGTCGTTCTTCCATTCTGCCAATTCTCTCGTACCACAGAACTGTGGAAGGGATGGTAAACCATTGCCCCCTTTCCCAGCAGTCAGCTGCTGCACTCTGAACTGTAAAGATCCACAATCACACATGACCACTTTGACAAAGCTTAGTACAGAAGCTAAGTTTCAGGGAGGGTAGGGTGCTAGATAGGCTTGCGGGGGAGGAGCAGTAGGCAGTGATAGGTTATATGCCAGGTAAGTATGGTGCTAGGTGGGTAAGTTGCCAGCTGGCTAAGGTGTAGGGTGCCAAATGGGTAAGAACCCAAGTGACTTGGGTGGGGTGCAGGATGGAAGGCGGCCAGGCAAATGGTGCCCGTTTATGAAAGGTCAGGGTGGGTGGAGAGATTGGGTCAGACAGGGTGTGAGGAAGGCTGGTTGGGGGTGGGGTCAGATCTGCCAGCAAGAGGTGGCGTTGGTCAGGTGCTCAACGCCACAGCAGTCAGCTAAGACTATGTAGAAAGCTTATTGTGGTGAATGAACAAACAACTGAAGATCTCTGAGGTTGAAATACGTTTGATTGCAGTCCTCTGACTTGTGTCAACCGACTTCCGTAATCCTAGCTAAAAACCGAAAGAACTGCAGATGCTGTAAATCAGAGACGAAAACAGAAATTGCTGGTAAAGCTCAACAGATCTGTCAGCATCTGTGGAGAGATCCAAAATGTTAACTTTGATTTCTCTCCACAGATGCTGCCAGATCTGCTGAGCTTTTCCAGCAATTTTTGTTCTCGCCTTCGAAAATCTAGCACCAGGCTGAAATCTGAAAAACTAAAGCAGTCTGCAAGCTGAAGACTGGACAGGTTTAACATTGCATTCTGCTGTGTCAGGTTTGGGACAGTCACTGAAGTATTTGCCACTTAATGGCAAACCTTTATTTAACTGCTACAACGTCGTGAGTACTCTTGTGTGACACAGGGTTATAAACTCATATCACTGATCATCAGGAATTGTCTTTACACAGATTAAACTAAATATTGTCGTACCACACAGTCCAGGCCTGTTTTTGATTTGAAATTAATTCTGCACACCTCACTTTGTCACTGACTTGAAAGATGAGAACAGTGTTCTTTTGAAATTGTGTTTTCCCCGTTAAGTTGGCAAAACCATCATAAAAGACACATGCTATACCATCTGGGCACAGCAAGGTGTCACCATGAAATAAATAAGAACATACTACCTGGTGCTTTCCGGGTTGCACAGAGACCAATATCTGCTGAAAACATTCATGAAATCCGTGAATGAAATAGTCATAAAATGCTCCAAATTTGCATTCACCTGGAGTATACATTGTTTGTAACAGTAAAAATGTCTTAATGTTCTGATTTTGCTTCTTTATTACTCATTGAATACAAGAAATGTTTTGAGACGTATTTTGTACAGGATTACTATGGATTGAGGTGACAGTTGGTAGTCAGGAGGTAGTGGATCAACATGAATTTATTGTAGTTTGGCAGCTTAGAAATTTGTACCTGTCGATATATTTCATTGAAAGTGAATGAATTTTGTGAGCTTTAACTTTTGATCCACACTGTGCAGCATAGATAGGTAGACCATGTTATTTGGATACAGCGAGATCCATGTTCACTTATGGGATACTTGAGCATTACTGTCGTATATTGCATTATCTGAGCATGTTGGCATATTACTATTTCTCTGCTGCTCTGCAGTTGGTCAGATGTAAATCAAATGCTTCAATAACTGGTGCCTGCAATAAGGAGGTGTTAGTCTTGTCCAGTGCAATACACAAGAAATAGCAAACACTCAAATGTCCCTGAATCCTCTCAATCTGTTAACCCAACACTAGGCAGCAATGCAGGAGTTCGACAGAGGCCCTCATCAGTAAGTGAAGTGTTGGGCTCTGTTGGCCACAGGTTGGAGTGGAGGTGATGAGTCAAATCTCTCACTTTTCCTTTATCTCGTTGTTGTCTACTCCTTTTTTTACATCGCTGTCTACTCCACCTAGTGCAACCTGCAGCTTTACCACAATCTTGAGCTTCCATCCTGCTGTGCTGATATGACTTACTTTTCACACAGGAATAGATCTTTGACTGGGAATGGGGACATAGAAACAGGCCGAATTTCTGGCTCTCAGACCCCTCTGAAACCTGGTAAACGTCCCCCCTCTGCTGGCCAAGGAGCAGAATTCCCTCGTGATTTGCAGTTCTCTCTTTCTGTCATTTCCATCATCGCCAGCCTCAATTCTTCAAAGTCAGCTGACTGTCTTTGCTCAAAAGCCTGCTCTGGATTTTATTGCTGTTTAGGCCTCCTGTGGATGTGTCTCAGTGGTCAGTTTTTAAGCTTGCTTCATATCCACAGAACTGGCGAGAGATTTCCTTTAATTTGAGAATGTAACTTGCCACAGTCTCGCTTTGGCCCAACTATTTCATTCACAAAATGCAGTCTCATTCTCAGTGGTACTGTGACTCGAGTCCTGAATTGCATTAATTTCACAATAACACCAAACTTGAAGGGGCAACGTTTTCACACAGAGGGTGGTTCATATGTGGGATGAACGGCCAGAGGAAGTGGTAGGTACAGGTACAGTTACAGCATTTAAAAGGCAGTTGGCTCAGGTGCATGAATAGGAAAGGTTTGGAGGGATATGGGCCAAGCACAGGCAAATAGGACTGGTATAGTTTGGGAAACTTGGTCGACATTGAGTTGGACAGAAGGGTGTGTTTACGTGCTGTATGACTCTATGACTCCAAAGTCAATTAATGTTTTCCTTTTGGTCGAGTTGGCAAAAGTCAAGTCCAATCTAATTGGCTAACATCTGTTCACAAGCCTGTGGTGGTTCTGAATTAGTGAAGGTAAAGTCACTATTGTCTTACCAGACCATAGGGCTGCTGTCTCATTAGACAGAGATGACTGGTGGTGGTTTAACCTGAGGGTCCCCACACCTCAGGTGAGGGGAGAGGATGAGAAGGAGAGTCCTTCATTGTAACCTCAGCCAGTGCAGGAATTGCACCCATGCTGTTGATGTTACTCTGCATTACAAACCAGCCAACTGAGCTAAACTAATCCCCAGTTCTGAATTATATGATTGTGACCAATAGGGTAGTAACAAATCAGAGGATTGCTTCACATTTAATCTCCTAAAGTAGCTCCTCGGGCACCATCGTCTGATCTCATTCCAGTCAGCTTTAACAGCCTGTGGAGATGGGTCTTTCAACAGCTGTGAGCATAAACACTTTAGACATAAACATTAAAGATAACAAGGTGTAGAGCTGGATGAACAAAGCAGGCCAAGCAGCATCAGAGGAGCAGGAAAGCTGACGTTTCGGGTCTGGACCCTTCTTCAGAAAAATTTTTCCTCAGCTTTCCTGCTCCTCTGATGCTGTTTGGCCTGCTGTGTTCATCCAGCTCCACACCTTGTTATCTCAGATTCTCCAGCATCGGCAGTTCCCACTATCTCTGAATCAATTTTAACCCCAGACATAAACATTAGACACTTTAGAGTTTGCTGATTGGGTACCTTGTACATGTCATTGACAAAAGCCATTATTGTAATTCCCGTTAGTGAATTAGAGAATTATAGGAATGCTACCTTGGTAACATGGCTGTCCACAAGTGAAAATAGGTCCTCAATGTGTCATTCATCAATTAAGTTGAGAGGACATAATGCATCACGCTCGTGCCTTTTCCCCACTTGCGCATGCTGCTGTACATACAGGTAAGGCACACTGTGAAGCTCTATTAGAACTGGATCTCTCCCTCTCTCCTCCATGTTTATTCAACTTGCTGCCTTTTAAGGACTGTCACCAAGAAAGGTGTTTGTGTGTTGATACTTTAACTGGGAAGCCATGCTGTGTCACAAGAAATAGAGTTGCCAGTGTGCAATTAATCTGAGTCTTTTCTAGTGTCTAATTCTCAAGTTTCTGATTCAAACTATAAATACTAGAAACACTTCACCTCTCTCCTAAAGGGAATATAGAGTTTGGCTTTTTCTGTAATTAGTCATTTGGTAGTAGGTACAGAACTTGAGAATTGTCTTTTATCAGCAGTAACTCTTTTATAATTACATGTTTGCAGGAACATTGGTACCTGAATTCCCAGACTATGTAATTTAGAAGAATAAATGGTCTCAGGATCTTTATCCTTTTCCCATTGAATGAGAGCAATGTGAACTCAAACTACACACAGAATGGAAATGCTTTTACTGTGGTTTAATCATTATTATTATCAATCAAAAGGGGCACAGTTTGTAAAGTCATTTAATTGAAGCATTGTGCTGTGAAACCTGATGATAATTATATTGATTCTCTGGACCCTTGCTGATTTGGTCTCTTTGCCTCTTCCAGTTGAGAACGGTGCACACTGTGAATTTGCAAATCTAAGGGATCTGCTGATCAGGTAAGATGATCCTCCAGTCCATGAGGCCAAATCATTGTATTGTGCAACAGCATTTGTACAGGTCAAAGTTCGTCTCCAGCCTTCAACAGTCAAACAAAATCTAGGTGCCCCATCATCGGACGACAGTGCATGAAACCAATGGGGAATTGCTGGGACAACAAGTAGCAAAAATATAAAGAATGCAAGCGTTGATATTTTAGAGCAAGTTCTAGTAGCATCTCCTGTGACATTGCTCACAAGAGTCACTATCAAGTTGTGCTTCCATTTGCGATCCCATATTCGAGGCTGAGACTGATTTTTAATCAGGAAGTGAATCAAAAGTTACAGGGAAAAGGCAGGAAAGTGGAGTCGAGGATTATCAAGTCAGGTACGATCTGGTTTAACGGCAGAGCAGGCTCGATGGGCTAAATGGCTGACTTCTGCCCCATTTGGGATCCTGAGCCTCACCCCACTTTGGGAATCCCTGCCCTACAGCACGGCAGCAACTCATTGTATTTACTCAAAGTAACGTGAGTGGCCTAGATGCAACAATGACCTACCTTACTGGTAGCAAAGATACACACACCATAAATTCATGAGCTGAATGTTCCTGTTGCAAACGTGATTTAAAGGTCAAGTGTCCTGAGCAAGAGCCCAGAGGACAATTGATAAGGGCACGTGGATATGATTTAGTCTCCATGTTAAAGTCATGCGTTCCGTCCCTATTTATTTTTCATACAAGATACTTGGACAAAGCCTGTGGCCATTTAGGAAACAGAGAGAAATAGTTGGGCGGAGAAATTAGATCCCGAGGCACGTCAGTGGTTGGGGTGTGAGGGTGCTTGGTTGCCATGGTAGCCGTGCCATGCCAACCTCCATAGCAGATTTGACATCGGCCTGCTCACCAATGGGCCAAACTGAGAGCTCAGTGAGGCCAGTTAAGGGACCTCCTCCCACTGGCCCTGGGATTCCCAGGTGGGGACGCTCAGTGACCTGAGAGATCGGGCCATCAGGCTGCCTGTGGCAGAACGCATTCGGGCTGGGGGACTGTTATCTCCTTTACAGGCAGTCTGTGCCTGTCAGAGACCTACCATGCAGATATACCTGTATCATCACCATCCACCACCCCCTCATTCTGCATCTCTCTACCTCTGCCTTCCTGTGGATCCAGTGCCTCGCGCAACCCCATTCTTCCTTGTCAGAAACTTTCCATTCCTACTTACTCATGTTATCCTGTATGTTACCTCTATCTCCCACAGTAGCTTCACATTACTCACCGTGTACATTTCCCTCCTTTTCATAAATCTTCCTTTTCTCAGCTATTTACACAATTATGAAAGCTGTGTGTTGTCCCTGTGTGCTCCCACTGGGTTTATGATTGTCAGTGGATTATGTTTTTCACAGTCGCAAACAGCTTTCTGATATCAAACGAGTACACTTCTGACTTTAAATAATGTAAAATAGAAGATTTGAATTTATACAGCAGCTCTCCCAACCTCAAAGCATCCCAAAGCACTTTATGGCCAGATTTTATTTTTGATGCATCTACAGCTAGTGGTTGGTTTAGCTAAGTTAAATTGGTGACTGGTTTGTAATGCAGAGTAATACCAACAGTGTGGGTTCAGTTCCTGCACCCCCTGAGATTAGCATGAAGGACTTTTCTTCTCTCTCTGTGCCTGAGACATGGTGACCCTTTGGTTAAACCACCACCAATTGTCTCCCTGCAATGAGGAAAGCAGCTGGGAGGACTACATGGCTTTACCCTTTTGCCTTTTGATATCTACAGCAACTGAAATACTACATTCCCTTCCCTTCAAACATCCCATTTGTGCCACAGTTAGTAAAAACGTGTGGTGCCCCAATTTTCCAGCAGCTCAGATTTTTTTTCTTTTCTCCAGCTTTGGCCCTGCTTTCTCTCCCTGAAGCAATCTGTGTTTAATTTGGTTTTAATTGCTTTCTGATGCATGTGGAACTTCAAGGCAAACTGTTAATTTTACTGTTCACTTACATAATTTTGGATCCTGCAGCCTGGCCTGTATCGATGTAATTAATGCCTGTGCATTTTTCCACACATTTTAATAAAGGAAAAGCCTATTCACTTGTGTTTTTTTTTCAGTGGCAAATTTTCAAACAGATGGACTTGATCTCCTAGAAAGGAGTGCATCTGGATGTTGTCAGTGATGTTTTAAGTACTGTTTTTTCATTCCCCTGTGTCTCGGGATATCAAATTTCATTTGTCATGGCTGTCTGTCATAATAATCTTAAAAGGCCAGATTTTGCATGACACAAACTCATCAATAACGCACCTAATTAATTAAAAGCAAATTACATTTACTTGATGGCCTGCCACAAAACACATTTAGTAAACTTAGGTTTACATTATCACCTGTACAATTAAATACATCATTTCCAAGTTATTCGCTGGATATAAATTTAGGTCTAAAACCGCCATATGCATGCACATACTAAAAAGGACTATAAGGATGTGGAGAAAAATATTAACTATATCTGATACACAACCAACCAATATTACTGTCAAACAGAAACCAGCAAGATAGATGGAACATACATAGGGCTCTTATGCTCCAAAACTGTTAACATGGAAATGATACACAGAAAGAGGCCATTCAGCCCATTTTATCCATGCCAAACCAAACCCAGTTGGCCTTTCTAATCCCATTTTCCTGCACGCAGCCAATAGCCCTGCATCTTACTGCACTTAAGATGCAGATCCAGGTACGTTTTAATAGAGTTTAGGGTCTCTGCCTCTGACACTAACTCAGGTAGCAAATTCCAGATGCCAACCACCCTCTGCGTAAACGGTTTTCCTCACATCCCCTCTAATCCTGCTGCCCCTTAGCTTGAATCTATGATGCCTGGTTTTTGAACTCTCTGCCAAGGGAAACAGGTTCCTCCTGTCTACTTTATCTTTACCCTTCACAGTTTTGTATCCCTCAATCATGTCACCCCTCAGCCTTCTCTGTTCCAAAGAAAACGACCCTTACCTCTCCAATATCTCTTCATAACTACAATTCTCCAGCCCTGGCAACATTCTAGTAAATCTTCTCTGCCTTCTCTCTGGATCAATTACATCCTTCCTGTAATGTGGTAACCAGAACTGCACACAATATTCCAATTGTGGCCTCAACAGTGTGTTATACAGTTTCATCATTATATCTCTACTTTTGTATTCTATACCTCTGCCAATGAAGGAGAGCATCCCATATGCCTTCCTTACAGCTTTATCTACCTGCATTGCTCCCTTTGGGGACCAATGCACTTGTACACCTAGATCTCTCACTTCACCTACCCCTCTCAGTATATTCCCAGTTATTGTGCATTCCCTTTTACTGGTTGACTTCCCTAAATACATTATCTCACAATACCAGAGGTGAACTCCATCTGCCACTTTCCTGTCCACCCCACCAACCCATCTATAACATTTTGGAACTTACAGCTATGCTCTACACTATCCAATACACAGTCAATTTTTGTGTCGTCTACAAATTTCCTAATTGTGCCCTCCCATGTTCAAGTCCAAATTGTTAATGTGTAAAACAAACGGTAGGGTTCCAACACTGAACCCTGGAGAACACCACTTGAAACAGCTTTCTATTTGCAAGGGCAGCCAATGACCATTCCCCTAGTTTACTCTTACTGAGCCCAACTTTGGATCCAGTTCAACACATTACCCTATTATCCCTCAGGCTTTTACCTTTTTTGACCAGTCTGCCTTTTGGGACCTTGTCAAATGCCTTATTAAAATCCATGGAGACAACATCCACTGCACTACAATTACAAACATTAATTCTTTATTATTAGGTTGAGGGGTCAGAAACTCTCATAACAATTAAGTGGCATTTAGATATTCACTTGCATTGCTGTAGCCTCTAGGTCTATCGTCCAAAAGCTGGAAAATGAGAATAATGTAGTCAGATTCTTGCTGATTGGCACAGACATGATGGGCTGAATGGCTGCCTTCTGTGCTGTAAATATCTGCTGAGCCACTCTGACAAACTGTCCTTGACTTTGGTCACTCATTATCTGCTTTTAAGCCCAGTTTTCTACAAGCCTCGATTCCTTCTCCTCAATCTTCCTGGCATGGTATTTTGCCCACGTCATTGCCAAAAGACTATGTATGGCACACCCACTCCATTTCTCCCCCTCAGCATAAAGGTCAAGTCACCATACTCTTACCAGACCATGGGGCTGCTGTCTCCTTGGAGAGAGAAGAGGGGTGGTGGTTTAACTTGAGGGTCAGAACTCTTCAGAGGTGAGGGAAAGGGTGTTGAGTAGGTGACCCCTTCATGGTAACCTCAGCCAGTACAGCAATTGAACTCATGCTGTTGGCATCCCTTTTTATTAAAACCAGCTGTCCAGCTAACTGACCCCCTTTATACTGAAAGTCACACTGGGTCGGGCAGTATCCATGGAGAGGGAGCAAGCTAACGTTTCAAGTCTAGACTCGAAACGTTAGCTTGCTCTCTCTCTCTCCATGGATGCTGTCTGACCCCCTGTGATCTCCAGCATTTTGTTGTTTTCAGCACATATTCCAGCATCTGCAGTAATTTGCTCCCACGTTTTACACTGCACCTACAACACAACCTTCCCTTCATCTCTCAGAAGCACCAGTGAGAAACAAGTTTATTGATTTATTATCACAACAACAAAGAAACACCTCAGAGCGATTCCAAATGCATTACAAATGCTCATTTTAATTCCATTGTTTGTGGACAAAAATGCAGGTGTTACTGCTGAAATGTGTCTGGTACAGAGGTAATGATGATAAATGATTGCTCTTGGCCCAGTTGTAACCTGTCTATAAACACGTTTATAACAGCAGGGTTGGAGTTCCGACTGCAGGAGGCGAACATGTGATTGCAGCATTCACTGTTGCATTCCGAGAGCGGGCGCTGTTTCTTTATGAGTCTGCAGTTCTGCCTCTGGGTTAGGAAGATCCAAATTTAGACATGTAAATGTCCAAGGTCAATTCACTCTAACAGAAGCAGTATAGAAGCTGCCGAGGTCTCTGTACATAGAATTTCAATACAAACATAGACCTTTCCAAACAGTCTGTATTGTGGCTTGCCCTCCAGTGTAACCATTGGTCCTTATTTCATGTGTCTTTCCATCTGCTCCCATGCTGCTTTCCTCCTCCTTCCTTTGGAAGTCTCTGCTTCAATCACAAACTCTGACATATTGCAGTTCACGGTCTCCACGTAAACAGATTGCCCCACATTTAGTCCCTTATCTCCATGCCCTTACGACCCCTCATGGTCTTTCCATGAACTCTGTCCTAGCCCTTCACCATTTTGAACTGCTCATATCAAATCACCAAATCCCCTGATCCATTTTAATAAAAACAGTCCCAATCTTTCAGGTCTTTCCTCAGTTTTTATATAAATATTTGCCATCAAATTTCAATATTAGATACTAAGCCACTTGACATAAAACCCATTATTCCATTAGTTTTCTTTATGGCCTTATCTATTTGTAATTATACTTTTAATCTCATACACTCAGAGATGTACAGCATAGAAACAGACCCTTCAGTCCAACCTGCCCATTGCGACCAGATATCCTAAATTAATCTAGTCCCGTTTGTCAGCATTTGGCCCATATCCCTCTAAGCCCTTTCTAATCATATACCCATCCAGATGCCTTTTAAATATTGTAATTGTACCAGCCTCCACCACTTCCTCTGGCAGCTCATTCCATACACTCACCACCCTCTGCATGAAAAAGTTGCCCCTCAGGTCCCTTTTATATCTTGCCCCTGTCACCTTAAAACTATGCCCACTAGTTTTGGACTCCCCTACTCTGGGAAGAAGACTGGGGTTATTCACACGACCCATGCCCCTCATGATTTTGTAAATGTCTATAAGGTCACCCCTCAACCTTGGAAGCTCCAGGGAAAATAGCCCCAGCCTATTCAGCCTCTCCCTATAGCTCAAACCCACTAACTCCGGCAACATCCTTGTAAATCTTTTCTGCACCTTTTCAAGTTTAACAACGTCTTTCCTATTGAATGCAGTATTCCAAAAGTGGCCTATCCAATGACCCAGACAGCTTCAACATGACCTCCCAACTCCTATACTCAGATCAATAAAGGCAAGTGTACCAAGTGCCTTCTTCACTACCCTGTCTACCTGTGACCCACCTTCAAGGAACTATTAACCTACACTCCAAGGTCTCTTTGTTTGGCAACACTCACCAAAATAAATTAAAATCCATTCCTCCATCGATCCTTCAAAATGCAGAGCAAAGCTTTAGTGTTTTCAGCTGACCCACTATAATCCTGTCCAAAAAGGTTTTGCACATGAGACACTTAAGAAAAGGTTCACTAAATTAAGTCCAGAGATGAAAGGCTTGTCTTATGAGGAGAGACTGAGCACTTTAGGCCAAGAGTTTAGAAGAATAAAAGAGATCAGATCGAGGAATATGGGATGTTAAGAGGGATTGACAAAGTAGATGTAGAAAGGATGTTTTGTCATGTGGGGCAATCTTGAACAATAGGTCATTGTTTTAGAATAAAGGATAGCAGATTTAGATAAGAAATAAGAGCAGAAGTAGTCCATCTGGCCCCTTGAGCCTGTTCCACCATTTGACAAGATCATGGCTGATCTTCTCGTGAATTCAGCTCCACTTAGCCGCACACTTGTCATAACTCTTAATTCCTTTACTATTCAAAAATCTATCTATCTTTGCCTTCAAACAGTCAATGAGATAGCCCCAACTGCTTCACTGGGCAGGGAATTCCACAGATTCATAACCCTTTAGGGAGAAGTTCCTCCTCAACTCAGTCCTAAACAGAGATGAGGAGAAATTACTTCTCTCAAAGAGTTATAAATCTGTTGAATTCACTATCCCAGAGTGTGATGGGTGCTGGAAGACTTGAGGAGGTGATAGGGAGGTTTTTAAGGAGTAATGGGGTTGGAGGGTTATAGAGGGTGCGCAGGAAAGTAAAGTTGAGATCAAGATGAGATCAGCCATGATCGTATTAAATGGTGGAGCAGGGTTGAGCGGCTCAGTTGCCTCCTCCTGCTCCTAGTTCTTATGTTATTACGATATTAAATAGAATTATTTTGTGGAGGAAACATGTAAAAGTAGTTATTTCTATTGCAATGTGATGTGTTTTTTTTAAACAAACAACAGTCGATGGACCAGACATTTTCAGAGGAGCCAGAGAGCAGAAATTGGCTTTTACCGTGGAAATGATCAGAGACAGATAAAAGTTGATCAGGGAGTGGCCAAGTGATTAGCCTTTGGCTACAGCAACGGCCCCTGTCCATCAGCAATGACTAGTGAAACAGAGCAATATACCCACCAGACTCTGATAAAGATCTGAGTGTGTCAAATGGCTTCCCAGCCAAAACGGGCTCACCCTAATCATTTTGGCTCATTAGCCGTGCTTGTCTTTGAAGTCTTTTTTTCAGTATGGAGATGGAAGGCGAAGAATTTGTATTCTGGGCTTTAATGGACTTTTAATCATTAGGGTTTGCCCATTGCCTGATAGTAGAACTGTAAAACATTTCCCCTCAATTTCACAAAACAGAAGCTCTGGTCCCTCTTTTCAAATCCTGCCATGGCATTGGAGCACAGCTTAGGAGAAGTTTTTACCCTGGGCTTCGAATACATTTTGACCTGCAATCTGTTTCAAGTCAGAGCAACTACATGCCACGTAGGCAGCTTACTATTTGTTTTCACACAAATAACATATATTTCTCACAGTGTGCTGCTGAAACAGATTGAAATAAGTCTTGCAGATCCATATTTGAAGCCCAGAGTAAAAATTAGTCATAAACTGTTGCACCAAACAGGCAAGATCTGAGTGATTACCAGGTGCAGATTTGGTCACTCTTTGATATTATTCATAGCACAGAATCATAGAACCACCCCCCCGCCGCCAACAACATAGAAGCAGGCCAATCAGCCCATCGAGTCTGTGCTGATCCTCCAAAGAGCATCCCGCCTACCGTATACTGTGTTTTATTGACTTCATCAGAACTAAGGGTCTAGAACACAGGACATTACAGCAGGAGTAGACTGAATGGCCTCCATTCAGTACAATCATCTCCAATCTTGGGCTTCAACTCCACTTTCCCTCCTGCTCCCATTAGTCCTTGTCCAAACAATCTGCTCTATCCCAGCCTTAAGTATTCTAATATTGGAGACTTTTCAACACTCAGAAACAGCATTCTAAAGGTTCACAACCCTCTGAATGAAATCATTTCTCCTCATCTCAGTTCTACATGATCATCCCCTTATCCTGAGACTATGCCCATGTCTAGTACTATCTCCAGCCTCTTCAGCTAACAAGCCCCTTCAGCCCTTTGTGCCTACCCCACTCATTTAAACCTGTGCAGCGAGATCGCCCCTCGTCGAGTATTGAGGTGCTTTGAGTGTGGGTTTGCTGCAGAACGCAGATTGCATTCGCGTGGAGAATGCTGTGGAAAAGTTCCCCTGTTTTGGTAACAAATTGGTGGAGATTGCTGCTGTTTTCTTTCTTCGTTAATAGCCGACTTTGTTGTTCCTCCTTGTACCTTTTTAAAGGTCTCACCTCCAGGATCTGAAAGATGTCACGCACAAGATCCATTACGAGACCTACAGAGTGCGACGATTAAACGAGAGCAATGGCATCAACAAGGGGTTGCCAAAAGGGAATAATATAGCCACCAAAGAAGATGTGGAGAACAATCTCTGAGAACCCGCCCTGCCAGCCAAGAATAAACTGTGCTTTCAACATCTCCTCTGCATTGTACAGTTTTTGTATTTCAGATAGAACTGGAGACAAAAAAAGTGTTTTCCGCTTTAAAGGAAGGCTGTGGGGTTTGAGAGTTTCTATGTAGATTGTTTAATGGGCTGGGGTCGAGGGTGGGGAGGGGGGGGGAAAGGGGAATTTGGGGTGGAGGTGGTTACTGAAAGAGAATTGTAATTCCAAAACAAGGTAACATGTCATCACGATCTTCTCTGTATTCCATTCTGTCAATAGCTCGGGGGAGTTTAAAACATAAAGCTGGTGTGCCTAGAAGAGGACTACTCTGTATGTTTGTGCCTATATGGTTCTTGCTCAGCTGCAGTATTGCACAATGAAACTCCTGTATTCGATGGAGAATGCAGCATCGTGACCAAGTTTGTTAGGTTAGTGTCTTGTATGACAGTGGAGCTCACTGAGCTAGACAAAGCCTCACCTTGAGCTCTCTGGATTATTATTCCCTTTAAAAAAATACTGTGCTTGTCTTGTAAACTGCCACCTTTATATTCATGAACACCTTTCTCCTCACTCACTTTATATCTTTCTATCTCTGTCTGTCACTCATTCACTCTATCTCTCACCCACTTCTCTCTCTCTCTGTCTGTCTCTCTCTCTCTGTCTCTGTCTCTTCCTCTCTCTCTCTCTTGTCTTCCTTTCATGCTCCCGTAATGGGCTTCTCCTGGTCACTTCCCTACCCCCACAAAAATTCAAGGCAGCCACATTTACGTTACCCTTAGGTGACTGGTTTAGGAATAAAATTGTACTGGTCATTCCACAATGCCCTGAATTTTGAACTCACTAAAATGCAGCGGCTTTTGAACTGTGTCTTTCACCAGGGGTGGGATGGAGGGTGGGGGAAACGTGGAGTCACTTGGCTGACATGGAGTCACACAATCGATCTCACAGAGCGGGTGTTAAGGGGGTAATTGTTACAGACGACCTGCTGTAACAGCCAGCTTACTGGAACCATTTATACCGAAGGCCCCTGTGGGAAAATGGACTGTTTGTCCTCAAAGTGAAGCACAAAGCAAAATTCCACAACCCATTCACAAGCCAATCCTGTATTTATAATAATCCAAGTGCATTAGCAAAATTTGAGCCATATCCACAGTGTATTACACAACATTTGGTGCACTACAGTGGCTGGTGTTTTAAAGGGAAACAGCTCCCAGGGTCTGATTTTCAGCATGCTTAACTCAATGGAAAGGGATTTCTATTTGACTGAAAGGCCAACAAATTACAGTGAAACTGCCTGAGAACTGATCTAGACTGAGGCCTGGCATTCAAGGGCAATGTGAAACGCAATTGGGGATGGTCAACAGATCCAACAATTGACACCCACATCCAGTGAAAGAACGATTAAAAAAAACAACTATGAGATTTAGGAGCTGAAGTAGGCCTTTCAGCCCATTAAGTCTGCTCTACCATTCAATGAGATCATCTGATATTCCTCAACTCCACTTTTCCTTACAACCTCATTGATTAAAACTCTGTTTCACCCTCAAATTTACTCAGTGACCCTGCCTCTACAGCCTTCTGTAGCAATGAATTCCACAGACTCGCAACCCCCTGAGGGAAGAAATTCCTCATCTCTGTCTGAAATTGGCAACCCAATCCGAGATGATGCCCTCTGATCCTAGATCTCCCACAAGGAGAACCGACCTCTCCACCTCTACCCCATAAGTCATACAGGAAACAATGGAATTTTTGGTGGCCACTCATACACTCCAGCCCTTACTGCCAGTCATAGTTTCTACTTGTTAGCGGGCAGACAGGCAAACCCCTGGGAACGTTAATTCAAATTCATTGCACACAGTGTGTCTTCAGGGTTTTGATGAGATACGTTACTCATGAAAAGGTGTGGAGAGACTGAGAGAGGCGCAGTTGAAAGCAGTCTGTTTGAAGTGCTTTGTCAAGCCAATGTTGTGAATTGCAACCGCGCACGTTTCAGTTTGAGAGGCTTTCCACACTCCAAAATGTAAAAAGTAAAAAAAACTGTAATTTTTTAACTAATTGTTTTTCTAGACCTATATTTCCACAAGCGTTTGACATGCCTGAGGGGAGTTAACCACAGAGAAAACCACTTGTAAATGCCAGTGAGTCATGCCTCCACTGCTGTGTAACCCAGTAGACAGGTTGATAAAAGATGATTTAATTCAGTCATTGGTAAAATGAAAATATCACCAAGTTCATTTAAAGAAAATGACTGCATTACATTGGAGGAAGAAGCCCTTTTTCTAAACACATGATGGTGAGTGATGTTTTACAAGGAGATACTTGTTCGTTCTGAAATGTTTGACCTTTATTCTCAGACAGGTAGGGAAAAAATTCAGTCTAAATGAGTTCTGTCAAATGGTAGCCATTGAATCGATGAATTGTAAGGTCATGCTTCCCATCTCCATTACATTCTTGCCTGTGTATTGTGCGGTTTTTGATGTAAAATGATATTTTATTCTGCTGGGAACCATTCTTATGAACCAGGAGAAATATATGAGGTGGAGTTGGGAGGTGGTGGGGTGCAGGGGGATGTGGGATGCGGGTGTCGAGATCCTGGACATCCTTTCCGAAATGCCACATCATCCTGTCGCCGTGGGGACGGGGGAAATTCAAGAAGGTGGTTCCCTGAGACAGTTGAGGAGGGGGAATTCCCAAATGCAGCGAAAGAATTCAAAAAGAGGAGCATATGAATAAATAAAACAATAAAATTACATTGAATTCAGCTTTAACAAAAAGGCCTGAAAGGAAAGCTCTGCCAGTTATTAATTCACACAATTTGACAAAACAATGCTGTCTCTCGAAATTTAGCCTTTCTGTTTAAACATTCTCCATTTCGTGATGGGTTTCCTCTCTCCAGGTGTCATAGAATCCCGACAGTGTGGAAGCAGGCCATTCAGCCCATCGAGTCCACACTGTCCCTCTGAAGAGCATCCCACCCAGACCCACCCCCTTGCCAACCTATTTGTTGGATGACATTTGCTCCACTCAGCTCCCTCCCAAAATGGCAAAACAATAGACTGAAGCCCCACTTTGTAATGTGCCCACACAGATGCAATTATGTTTTCTGAGTTATCTAAAAGCAATGGCTTTGGATGGTTGTGCATTCATTCAACACAGTTGTATCATTGTAGGATGGGGTACCTTTCCAAAATATTCTATATATTAAGCATAAACCTAGGTATTTCTGAATGATGAGCATTGTGTAATTTGGAGCTGTTTCTGTTTCACTGTGTTTTGGAAACCTGTAGCTATATTCATGAACACCCTCCAGCTTTACATCATCGGTGAACTATATGTGACACTGGGATTAGTTAGCTCTTTAGACCTACAACACTGACATCTGCAGGACCTTTTACTACATTGCAGGCGTTCTTACTGAAGTCAATAAAGCACGGTACAGCAACAACATCCTCACTTCTTCCCATTGGGTCAATACCGAAAGAGCTGTGGATGCTGTAAATCCGGAACAAAAACAGAAGTTGCTGGAAAAGCTCAGCAGGTCTGGCAGCATCTGTGAAGGAAAAAATCAGAGTTAACGTTTTGGGTCCTATGACCCAAACAGTTCTGACGAAGGGTCACTGGCCCTGAAATGTTAACCCTGATATTTTCTTCACAGATACTGCCAGACCTGGTGAGCTTTTCTGGCAACATCTGGTTTTGTTCCTTCTTCCCATTGGGCCCTGCAAACAGCCTTAAATTGTGAATTCAAAAGGGATAAATGCACCTTATAAAGTGACATACATGAATGCAAAAAAAAACACTGCTTTGTCTTTTATCCTCACATTTAAATGGAATTGGAAGTAAAATGGAAAAACTCTGGAGATGTCACTGCCTTCAACCACTGAAATATTCTGTTTGTCCGTTTGACGTTTTTAGATTAATTTACCAAGTTACGTGCAAGTAGGAGTTCTTTCTTTAACAAGACCAGCCTACATTTAGAACTGTTTTGAGAAAATGTTCAGTGACTTAATTGAAAATTCATTTGTATCTTTTTTTTAATGTTTATTTTAATTAAAGCTTTTTAAGTTTTACGGTGAGGTTTCTGCCGTGCGTGTCAACAAAAATCATTTGAATTGTGTCCTTTTATTTTGAAAGAGTTGTGGCTCAAACTAACCCAACAGGGTACTTTGCTGTTTATCAAATGTATTACTTTGCCAATTGCTGTTAAGGTAACATTTGTAATAAATCTGCTTTTTCTCTGTGAGTGCTGTCCAGAGGGATGGATACCCACTTTAAATTCCAGCATATGGGCAGTGCGGATGAGAATATCTTGTAAAATCCAGGCGTTTACTGCAATTCAGCGTGTTCCATACTGTCTGCAATGAAAACCTCTCCACCTTGCCTAGAATTAAGCTTTGTTTTAACTCTCTTGTGTTTATCAAAGCAAAAATCTGTGGTTAAATCCCTGTTTGCACATAAGGTAATCTTTTACTTACACTCCATATTTATCAAAAAATTTAAACTTTCTCTTACATTTTATGGGGAAAATATCAGAAAAAAATTAAATTTTATATGTTCATTTTATGATCAAAATAAAATTCTGTCTGCTAGTTAAGGCGTGTTTATTGTTTCTTGAAAAACCTGGCAAAAAGCTAAAAATCACCCTTTGTCTTACCAGACCAGAGGGCTGCTCTCTCGTTCGAGAGTGATGACTGGTGGTGAGTTTAACCTGATGGTTGCCATGCCTCAGGCGATGGGAGAGGTTGGGAAGGACAATCCTTCATGGTAACCTCAGCCAGTGTAGGATTTGAACCCATGCTGTTGGCATCACTGTGCTGCAAACCAGCTATCCAGGCAACGGAGCTAAACCAACTACTATTGGCCAGTTACTGCCCTCAACGACTGTTATTGGCTTGGCACAAGGGGGAAAAGAGTTAAGTCTGTGTCAACAAACAATCGACTTTATTGCTTAGTTAAAACGATTCACACCAGAAAGGGTTAAAAGCAGGCATGCAATTCATACAAAACCAAAATCTATGCGGATGCCCACTAGGTT